TGTACTGGATGACCTCATTGTAGTTCTTGGGCTGAACCTGACACTTCCACAACCCTTTGCTTTGGAAAAATAATCTTTGGGAGCCAAAGGTGTGATACAAAACCATGAACAGTGGATGCCGCTGCCGCAAAAGTTATTCCCCATTATAGGTTGTTCCTATTATCTGGCTGTAGGTCCAAAGTCTTGATGGGAGAGTTACCATCATCTGATTAATTCATTGTCCAAGTTCATTTGTAACTGTAGGTTCTCTCCTGTAATTACAGTTTAATAATCACAAATTTGTAATCATAATCCAGTTTGGTTTACATCCAAATCCAATCAAATTATGGATGGGAAGTACATGAAATTGCTTGAATAGCAAATTTTGGGAATCAGGAGATTATTGTGGGAAAACTTCTGAAATATAAGGAGACCTTCTGTCAAAAAGAGTTGTTCTATCTGACTCTTTGGATATACCAAAAGATATACCCAGGTGTATTTTTGTATTACATTTACAATATATTCAGTATTAAGAACGGATACCTTTGGAGTTAATGCAATCTACATATTGCAGGCAAACCTAATATGTGTATTTTTCTTCCCTCAGGTGTACAATAGAGTGGCAAGTGAAACTGTATTGCCAATGGGCAAACGACTTGACAGACTTATCACTCATTGTGGCCCAGTGACTGGTTGCATTTTTGCTCTTCTAGCTATGCTCAGCTTTCTTTTTCTGATATTTCTGAAGTGGCTGATACCAGATGATCTTATTGATACTGCAATAGATGCCACAGGCCTAAATGGAGCATGGACTAGAAAATATTTACGCAATAAAAAGAAAAAAGAAAACACTACAAACTGTTAAAGGTGCTAAAAAGTGAAAGGAAAGGTTTCATTCCCCTACGGTTATGCATTTGCTGTTAAATTTACATTTATCAAGCAAAAATGCTTATAAGTCATTGGGCAGCTTTCAGTAATGAATGGAAAGAAACTCAGTAAGAAGTTCTACCTCAGCATAAATCTAAACTGGCTTAGGCAAAACATTTTTTCCAAGATGTGTTGCAAAATCTGTTCACATTTATTTTAGCTTGAAGTATCTTATAAATACATGAATATCATTATGCCCATTAATGAAAAGAGGTCATCTGGGGAAATAAGGGGAAAAAATAGGTGAGTAGTTAGATCTTTTGTCTATTTTTTTAGAGCTTTTCCTGTTTTTAATTTCTCTTGCACCATCATAATACACTTAAAAATTGTATGGGAAATAGCAGTATATAAAAGTTCCAGCATAATATAAGAAAATACCTGACTTTTAAATGTGGATTCCAGGTCTCCTTTTTGAACTGGTATGATTAACTAAATATGTCAGTATGATCAACTAAAATTGAGAAATGCACACCTTGTGAAGTTGGGAGAATATTCTCATTGTTTAGGCATCTAACACTCATTTTTTTAATAGTTTGGAAACATGTATAGCTGACGTATTCTGGATGCTTCCCTGCCAATACTTTTTTAGCTTTTGGAAGACTTTTTTTGGAAAAAGCTCACTACAATCAAATAAGCCCTACTTCCATGACAAGATTGCCTTATTTAAAGTAAAAATAGATGTTTCAGTCTTTTCCTATATATGACTTCTTCTGTCTGAACAATTTTGTTTTGCAGTATTTTATTTCTAATGTTCCAAACATCAGAAAACATGAAGGCAGCTGTCATTTTCTTTTACCCAATCATAATTATTTTGAGAAGGAAAAATCACCCAAGATATTAAGCACTGATGAAGTATATATACCTAAGATTTGAAATTTCTAATTTTTGTTTTCATTATTGTAAAAAACAAAACTTAAGCACTTCCATTTTTTTAATGAGAGAGTAATCTTTTTATTTGAAACCATTTACAAAGATCTGAACATGTTTTGAGAAAGAAAATCTAGGACAAACACACAGGTTTCCAACACAAGCTTGCCAATGCCAGTAGAGTATGAAGAGAACATAAATACTGTAGACGTGCAGTAGAACTTGTGTCAATATTCTTCGGCCTCTCCTAGTAAACTCAATTGATACCATCTTTGGAGGAATATTAATCATAATCCTGAACTAGTTGACAGTTTATTTGGCATGTTATTTTTAAAAAGGGAAGAGTAATTTAGGAGAAATATTAATCATAATCCTGAACTAGTTGACAATTTATTTGGCATAATGTTATTTTTAAAAAGAGGAGAGTAATTTAGGCAGTAATTTGGGTTGTTACTTCATACCCTGGCAAGTGCAATCTCATAGCCCTTTGGCATTTAGCTAGCATTTCTATTTCAGTATTTTTCAGAAAATGTCTAAGCTTTATAAGTTGAATGTTACTATGGTCTCTAGATCAGTCTTCTGTGACAAACATGTTAATTCAGGTATCTTTCCTTAAGAGAACCATGTCTGTAGAATAGGACTCTGTTATTTTTACATCTTCTCATACCTATTGTTCCATTGGCCTAACCCAATATTACATGAGTAGACTTATTCTTGTGCAATACAGCTGTTCTCTGCAGATTTATTTAACTCTGTGGAATAATTTATATAAAGGGCTGCAGGAGAAGGAATAATTTCATCTGCTAAAGGTGCTTGTTCTTCTGGTGGAAGAATGCTATTACAACGTGTATTCTATAAGTGATTGTATATTTGAAGCTATCTTTGGATCTTTTCTTAAATGTCTAAGTATCGTAGCCTTACTACCTTAAGCGATTTGCTTTTCTCTGCTCACGATATCCCTTTACATCAATCATACTTGGTCTTAATTTTTTCTGTCCACCACTGCATATGAGCAACTCCTTATCCTGTAGATCATAGGATGAGCCAAAACTGCTATGTTACATTTGATAGTAGGAAAAACCTTTGCATCTCAGAAATAATGTTGACGGTATATTTTGATTTTTGGTATATGTTTCAGAGTAAATAATGGTTCATACTGTTCTGTATTTATTGTGCATACACTATGGCTGCATTTTGTATTTATGGCTTTTAGAACTGAGGCCATTGTAATCCAATGAATGTGCAGCCATGGCTTCTTGGCTATAGAAAAAAAAAAAAGATTTTGCCCATAAATTGGACATTCAGGTTATCAGTTCCTCAATCATGGCTAGTCTATGAAAATATTTCACAGTAAAATTAAGTTCACTTTTTCTACTTCATGCTCTTTTGAAAGTTACGAAATTAGGTAATTGTAAAATCTTTGCAAGGTAGAACTTCAGTTCTTTAATCGACTTCATAACAATTATGGAATGCAAGAAGTATTGTTGCTTACACTACTGATTGCATCAAATATTCTACCATGATGGAAAGGTAGTTTTGCTATATAAAGTCAAAGATTCAGGTTTCTGTCTTTTTCTACAAATAAAACTTTTTAAATACTCTTTGTTGATATGTTAGTAAATGATTATTTACAAATAATGATTTACCATGAAAAAGTAAGTGGCAACAAATTTGTTAGGCTATGGACTTTTAAAAAAAAAAAAATTCTGAGTACCATTTCACCTTAGTTTTACTGGAAGCATTTAAGAAATTTTACAAAAAAAAAACATTTTGAAACTGTACGGTATATTAATTGGTATATACTGATGGGAACTCTTATCAGTAGGTATAATTTTGATTATAACAAAAGTATTTCAGCATTTGCCAAATTGTGTATTGCCATACACATTACATTATGTATAGTTTAAAAATGTAATTACAAATCCTCTCACAATACAATTTAAATTTAAAAAATGCTTCTATTGACAAAAGGTAAGCTGAGGCTATATGAACCCAAAGTGGAACTGTTCCCTTGAAAATTAATTTGAAACTAAATCCATTTAATTCCAAATGAACTATTTTAAGCTTTTGAGAATAAATATAAAAGTTACTTTTAGAACCTAACCATTACATGTAAGAATCAGAAAATTGTTATTTAATTTAATAATAATTGTGAAATTTATTTATTTGCTTTTCTAAATGAAAGTAGCTTCTGCAGCAGAATGAACAATAAAAAATCTTACTGATTGGGGGGGGGGTGAGAAAGGACAATGCTTTTTCATGGATCAATGGTTGAAAACATCTCTTTTACAGTACAACACTTGATTTTCATTTCCAAAAGAGTTACTTGGAAATCCATGCCGTGTACCATCCAGTACACTAGAAAGCCTAATATTCAGAGTCTGCTGTTTGTGAACAGTGCAAGTTTGATAACAAGAGGACTATTCAAGTATATTTATAAAATGACTTTTTAAACTGGAATGAGCCCCAGCTGAAGGTTCATGTAATAGTTCAAGTACTTGTACATGCATGAATTGTGCAAAATTTTGGAAAGAGAAGATCCTCAAGTTGGTGGATTCTTCCTCACCTCAGCATTCCTGACATAGGTGGAGCTATATATCCGTAAAGACTCCTGATTCATATTGGATTTATATACTGCTCTTCCATTGCTTGCTGCATCACTCAGTCTGATTTAGGAAAAAAAAAAAAATTTAATGTCTTCATATGTAACTCTAAGAAGGGTAAGCCTTTTCTGATTACTATTGATTAGTGCTCCAAGTTTCTTGCCTTTTGTATGCAACACCAGGCAACATACTCATATACATAAATGCATATTTTATGGAGCTGATAGTCCTGGGTGGGGAACCCCAAATATTAAAACAGTCATTAAAATACAGAAACACTGTGTTAAAGTAATTTTGTGTGTAGTAGAATTCTTCAATACAGTATTCAGTCTGGCATGGAAAATTTTAACATTTCTAAAAGATTTCCAGTGCCCCGTAACAATTTATTTTATGTTTCTTCCCACATCCCATGGGTGTGGGCTATGTCATCTGTACCCCCAAAATAAATATTTTTTTACAAACCCTTTCCTTTGTCTTGATACTTTCTGTGTATGCCTGATTTTTGGTAGGGTTTTTAAAAACTCTTTTTACTGCCAACAAAGAGGCTGATTAGTCCTATGTGACTTTTTATTGTTCCTGGGTTTTGGCCAGAATGCAAAAAATAAAGTACTGTGAAGATAATCTGCTATGACTCTTTTAGGTAAAGTACAGTGCTTTAACAAGCAGTGCTCGAGCTACCTGTTAACAGAGGTCAAAAAGTTTTATTCTCTCACTTCCCCAAACAAGAAACAAGGTAAATAACCTTTCACTAGCACCATTTCTCACAGCTCTGAATATTTTTTAAAGCAAGTTGACAAAAGTGAGCAAGTTGTTCGGACTTAAACAAGACTTGGCAAAATTGGCTGCATAAATTAATCACTTTTTTTTAACCATGTACCATTAAGTGATACTGTTTGGATGTGAATGTTTGCACTATTGACCCTCAATTTACCTTACAGAAACTTCCTTCTTAGTAAACCTAGTTGTAATTATAACAGTGATTTTAAAAAGGGTACTAACTGCAAAAATCAATTCAGATCCATTTGTCTTGAACTTCCTTCCTTGTTACTTTCCTTCAACCTCCCTCCTACCCCCACATCGGAGAACTGTGAATTCTGAGAAACTATTCACTGTGAATCATCAGTCATAAAATTATATACCTTTGATGTTCTCCTTATCTGGTTAAGTTAGGGACAAAGTACAGTATCTGTCTAACTCAGAAGAGCTAGAAGTGTGGGATATGGACCATATTTGACCTGACAGCATCTCCCTTATGGCCCAAAATCACTGCTGAGTGGGTGGAGCTACACATTGGAGGTACTATATATTTGTTTGTTTGCATTGGGGGTTTAAAGTCAAAGCAATTGCCATAAACCTTTGCAGATGCTTAAGGTCTCTTTTTTTTTTTCCCTTAAAGCTCTTGAGACTCCCTCCCCACCTGGGCCCAGGCTCCATAAACTTTCATAGGGTAGCCTTCAACATGCTACAAAGCCTCATGCAGCCCTCAAATCAATGGAAACTGTATATCACTAATCTACTTTTGCATACACTCTGATTCTGAATCACCACTGAAGCTTTGGAAGTCAGGTTTGGATTTTATTGACTTTGCTGATATAGTGCACAATGTTAAGGATACAGAGGGTTTATATATATATATTACTGATATTTGCTCTAAACAGATAGGTCCAAGATTTGGGGTAAGTTTGTATAGGTTTGCAGTTTAAGGAAGCATTGTATTAAAATGTGAAGAATAATCTTCACAAGATTATATATACTTTGTATACTTCAAAAGAATTTTCTATCATTTGTTTCTGTTTTCTGAGGAAAACAATCCTCAATTCGTTTTATGAAAATATGCAGAATTAAAGCAGATTCTATGCAAAGCTAAGGGGTTTTTTTTTTAGATTTATCCTGCCTTTGTTATTTTTTATGAATAACTCAAGGCAGCAAACATACCTAATACTCCTTTCCTCCTCCTATTTTCCCCACAACAACAACCCTGTGAGGTGAGCTGGGCTGAGAGAGTGTGAGATGTAGAAAATTTATACATTAATTTAAAATATTGCCTAAAATAGTTTATGTGGTCTAAGACCGTGATTGTGATGTGTGGGTTCGTTACCTTCACACCACAGTTTCCTTAAAGTGGAACTCTTCAAATTCAGGGCCAGATTAAGGCCAACTGGTACCCCAAGCACAGCCCAACAATGGTGCCCCTTGGCTCTTACATTTATTTTATTATTTTATTTTATTTTCAGAATTGTTGCCAATGCAGTTGGTGTGATAAGCCTAAAGAACAATGTTTAGGTGCTCCTATGGGATGCAGAAGTATAATTCAGGCGCCACATGCTGCTCATTGGCTATAGGTTACCTGAAGTATGGAAGATGGTCTATGGTTAAAGGAGAAGAAAGGTCCCATCCCATTCCCCAGTAGATTGAAGGGCAGAGTATTGCTTCTTTAATTATAGGGAAGAGGAAAAATAAGATTAATGTTGCAAATGTCAACATTTTAATGGTTATTAAAAAAGACTCTTCGGGGGCAATAATTTGCATAATGATGGCTGCACTCAGTTTCAAATCAAAGTGAGCTGCAAATACAACAAAGTATGTGACACTGAAAATTGATATATATTTTTTAAAAATTCAATTTTTATTGCTATAATTCACAAAAAAGAAAAGAAAAGAAAAGCAAGACACAAGATACAAAACAAATGTATAGGAATGTTTGTGTGTGTGGTAATTTTGGTATATACATACTAAATTAAAAAAAAAACCTCTTCCAAGGGAACAAAAACAAAAAAATGTATTGCATATATTATCTATCTCAGGTAAATAGGTTGAAATATTTAAATCAACAAATATTTCCCTAGGAATAACTGTTACAGGGTGTTTAATAATTCATACAATAAACAAAGCTTTTTTTTTTTTTACAAATTTCCATAGATAAATTAGATCCCATTGGAAATATTTTGGGCTTATTCCAGTTGATTGAATAACCTGGTAATTTACCAAACTTTTTATGATGTCCACAAATTTAGGAAGAGAACTTTGACGGTTATTAATAAGATCCCAAATATTATCTGTATATAACATTTTATGTTCCTGACACCTTTCTACCCAATTTATCATTTGATTTCCAAATCAAACAAGCTAATGATTCCAAACCCAAGTTATACATAAAAGGAGATAAAGAACATGTTAATGAGTTCAAAGACGCTTCTTAATGAGTGAAGAGCTAATTTCATTTGTAATGAATCTGAGAGTGTTTCAGCATCTAATAAAGCCACTGCTGCTGATTCAGGTTTTTCTACTTGTATTTCTAAAATATCAATTAACAATCTAGTATTACCTGAAGCTTGTTGTGCTTTTATAAAGTCAAATTGCCCAAGATTAATTATTGACGGTAATATAGTTTGCAGTTCCTGTACCAAGGTTGTATTAAAACTTTCGCTAATTTTAAACAACTAGGTGAATTATTTGTAATGAATTATTAGTACTTAGATGGAAACCCAATAAGAAATACCAGGGTTGTAGGCTAGACTAACAAAAAATCCCATAGGGTGATGGCAAACCACTTCTACACTGCTGCCAAGATAACTACATGGATGTGTCAATGTAGTCACAAGGGACTGAGAAACACTCAAGGGGGTCTTTATCTTTTGGTTATTAATCAGATAAGATATTACTATATGGGTTGGGAGTAATCTGTTGTGGGGGAATGGAAAAGAAAACAATGGCTCCCTCTGCAGGATGGGTGGAGCTCACTGTTTTTAGCTTTGAGGTACTGCCACTGGAGAGACAACAGACAGAACTAATTAGAGGAAAACATGATTTATAAAGAATTTGTCAATAATATGTTCAAGGCCAGATGTGGAATGCAGAGAATCTAAGTATTCTGTAATGCTGAATAATATATTTTGTTTAAAGGGACTTACCGCTTAGTTAAATCAGAATAAAATTGCAACTTCCATCTATCATCTGCAGCCTTTGTTATAAACTGCAACTGGAAATGGGTTCCAATAAAACCTGCACTAGACTCTCCCTTTTAAAAATTTCAGCACACGAAAGACTTCAAAGTATTTTAAAAGCTGGCTTTCTGAATTGTGACTTTTAATTATTCCTACCTAAAGTTCTATATTGCTATTGTTTTAGAAATAGCAATATTTAATTAGAAAACACAGCTATCTGCATTTGTTTGTGAGATACATCTAAAAAGAAATCTGAAGTTTGCACTTTTAAATGAAATTATAGTTAACACAAGATAATCTCAATTATTATACAGTGGGTCAAAAAACTATTTAGTCAGCCACCAATTGTGCAAGTTCTCCCACTTAAAA